AGATCAGGGCTAGGATATTTTGGTCCTTCTTAAATGTTAAAGACCTGTTGCATCAAAAGACGGCGTGTGATTGACAAAATGCATTTATCTGCAATCAGCCGTAGTACCAGAATCCTAGGAGCAGCTTTGTGTCCAGGTAGCTAATGGTGGAGACAGGAAACATCTGCATGCCCACTCTGTTAAATTGTAACTTGCACGTTGCGTGTAGCTATGTGAAAACAGATAAAAATGTTTATAAAAACTGATTTTTGTACACACAGTGATAGAAACTGTCGTGATACTTTGCTTTGACAGGCACTACTACAAAGATTCTTGAGGTTTCAAACAATTATCGGCTTATACTGGTTTGTAGTTTCCTTAGTGGTCTGCAACCTTATTAATAGAATAATTTCTTTCCACACTTTTAAGCAGGAATTGGATAAAAGTAATAGATGTCAAAAAAGTGGCACTGTACAGAATATACTAGAACCAGCAGAGTGCATTATTCCAATTAACCCTGTGGTTTTCAAACAACTCCACTAAATTAGTCGCAAACAAATTTCTACAGTCTGTGGGCTTTGTTACCACTACTGGCTGTGTTTCAGTATAGATAAAAATAAAATTGAATGTACACTATGTGCACTCTGTGGGAGGATTCTTTTAGTGCCAGCGGAAGCATTGTCTGTTGATCTTTGAAGAAATACAACATTTGTTACGAAGGAATGAAAATAGAATTTTCCTAAATTACAAAAAAAGGAAGAAATTATAAACCAAATGGCATCACTGTTGGTCTTAAAATGGTTTAGAACACACTTAGACAAAATGTCTTCATGCACTAAATATCTTCACGAGCATGCCTCTTAAGAATAAACTGGGTTTTTTTGTTTTTTGGTTTTTTTTTCTTTCCCCAAGAGGATTCAGTGTCACTTTAATGAAAGCAGTTAGTCCAATGTTTCATTGACAGCGAAGTCAACTACCCTTAATGAAAATGAGGTGATTGCATCATTGTTACCATGCGATGAGCAGATGACAACGGTAAACTGAAAAAAGGCCCCCATTTCACTATTTTTCTTACCATAAGTAGCTTAAAGGGTTTAGGCATCCTCTTATTTTTGAACAATATCATAGGAGCTGCAGAGAAAACTCAGTATGGTCATCAGTTGACTCTTGGCCATACCTCAGCGTCTCTGGAACAAAAGCTTGCCTTTCCAGGTCACTGTTGAGATGCATCCATCTGAAGACAACTCACACACATGGATCCTCGCATCCAAGTGCTTTCTAAACAATAGCCCTCAAACAACAGGACTAAAGCAGCAATGACCTCTCCAGGGCAAGGGGTTAGTGAACATCTGTTGTTGGTGAATGTTGCAGTTATAAACCCACTGTATTGCCCGTAAGTTAGTTATGATACGTTCAGCAGCTTATTTAAGTAAAAAAGCCAAATTACTTGGGTATAGTCTTTTTTATATACAGTTATTTTTAAAGTGTTTTTCCTTTAACTTTTATTGCAACTTCTGGAAGAAACTGAGGGTATACTAGACGAGTTACCTCTGGTAGCAGGGGAGGTGCTTGTTTGTTTTGGCTCTAAAGCGCTGATCTGCTTTAAAGTGGCTGATGTGGAAGCCCATAGATGCAAAACTATCTTAAGTAGACAATCTAGAATCTGCTCTGCAAGCTTTTGTCTACCTTGCCATTTATTGCACAATCGTACCTGATATTTTCTGGGGATGTTCTGACTGCAATAGTAGTACTAGTGTCAAGAAAGCTTTACGTGCGACTTCTGAGGAAAATTAAGCTTGGGGTTATCTTGAGATTGGAGGATCTCAAACTTGCGTGAGGAGATTGGCGTCCAACTGAAAAGATGAAAAAGCAGAGATGCAAAAGCTTAGTTTTGCTTCGTTCTTTCATTCTTCTCTAGAGTGGTACGGATCGTCTAAGTACCAGAACACATACTGATCTTTCTGAAATAGTCATTCTTGACTAGCAAGCCCATAACTAACTGGTTTTATGTTAAGCAGTGGAAATTATGCTTTGTGATTTGTAAGCTGCACTACAGTGAGAGTTGATGTGGCTGCAGTACCTTTCTAACAGGTGGTCTGCCTGGAAGAAGCATGCCCAACAACCACTTTGGGCAGCGAGGAAAAGATAACTGCATATAAAGTGCAAGCGTTTAATATAACTGCTTTGAGAGGGGGGAAATGTGCTTGCAAGGTGGAAGAATGGAGGGTTTTTTTTTTTTTTTTTAAAAAAAAAGGGCAGGGAAAAGGCTGTTCATGAGTATAAGAAAATTACTGTACCGTGACCCCATGTTAGTAAACTTGAGGTATCATTCCTCACAGATGATAAAGCTCTGAACTAAGAGGTCACTCTCTTCATTTGTTTCAAATCTAAATCTCTGCAGAGCTCTGCTGCTTATACTAGGGAAGACTCTGGGACTCCACACTTCAGATTGATGTAATCTGAAGCCTTTTTTTATTTTATTTTTTTTCCCCTAGATATGTAGTTAATCAGGAACTGGTTATTTCCCAGTCCTCTTCCTGCAAATAGAATACATAGGCATTCAGAATTCCTTTTGGACAGCTGAGAATTGAGTAATAGCAAGGGGCTTTGCACATCAGAATAATGATGAGCGAAAATGGTGAGAGTTTCAGCGAAAGCATGAAAATGTTATCTGGAGTGCAGTGGCCCAGACCCTGAAATGTGTTGAGCATATCCTTAGCTCGCTCTGATGTTACGGGAATTAGGAGTCTGAATGAAATGCTGAGCAGCTCTTGGATTTTAGGCCTAATAAGCAGTTGTTACTCCTATGTTTATTCTTTTTAGAAATTACATCTGCTTCTGCATTACTTATTCTGCGGATCAGCTTCTCTGGACTGCTTTTGGCCTAGACAAATAAGCCACAAAACTGGGAAGAGGCAAGCTTGCAAAATTTAAAACAATAAGGCTTGTATATAGCCAATAATTAATATTGGCTATAGCTGTAAATTATGCTGCTTTTGTGTGATGAATCCACGCTCTGGCTCAGCCGGAGGAAATTTGTTTGTATCGGGTGCCACCTTATGTATTGATAGCAAGAATGAATTGATGGAAGATGAAAACGTAGCTGAGGAAACCTTCTTGGCCCTAAGATCCTTCTACAATAAATGAATAAATTTTGCTGCACTGAAACAGGTAATTCAGGGCTTCCTTCATAAATAGAAGGCATCTGTGTTAGGGCCGTGTTTCTGTTGTGCTGGATTTCTTGTCCTGTAAAGCCAGGATTTACAGCATGCTATGGGGTCAGGCTTCTGGGTCTCCCAAATGAAGAATCAGAGTAAAGAGGGATGTCCTAGAACATCCTGCTTTTAAATGCCTTTGATTATGAACTAGGGGATTATTTTCTGAATTATTTTAGTGTAATGCTTTGTTCTGCTCTAACTTGAAGCAGCTGCTGTAATGCAGCTTGCAGCTGTTTGTTCCCCCCTGCGCCTGTATCTTTCCTCTATCTAGTGCTCCCTTTGCGTATGAGGTGCTGTACATGCTCTCAACCCTTCATTAAAACGTTAAGGTTTGAAGTGGACCTCATAAGGTCGTTTTATCCATTCCCCGACACTACTGCAGCATAAATGTTGATGCATTTATTTAATGATTTGCCCGCCGCTTCTGACAGATGGTTGTTTCGTCTTATGCATCTTCCATGATGGAGCACCTGCAACTCTTCTGGACATCTTGCTCAGTTGTTTTGCTGTTCTTTTCTGCCGTTTATTCTGGGCGTTGTTTGGTTAGTTGAACTGGAGGTACTGTTTGTTTCTTCATCGGTGCTTTATCATGTTACTGTTTTTGTACACTTAGCATAACTTTTTTTTTTTTTTTTGGAGTTGAAGACTAATTGCACTGTATCATCTCAGCTGTGTTAGAATGAGAAGTTTCGGGAGGGGATCAATGGCCCCATGGGCTCCACTTCCATCTTTATAACTTTGCCCTTTTAGCTAGGAACAGATTATTTGCACGGCAGTTCACGATTGCACAGACAGAATCAGAAGGACCCAATTTTACATAAGCCATTTATACTAAACGTTTGGAATGCTGGCAACATAAATCAACAACAATATCTATTACAAATTCATCACATTATCAGTATTATCTTTGATAGAACCAACCCAAACTCATGGGAAAGTGAACGTAGTGCAGGAAGTTTAGCCCTTTTGTAAATTAATAATTCAGGACACACAGAACCTGGCCACTTCAATGCAGAGTAATTCTTTCCAGCCAACATCCAGGATTTTAACTTCAGTGGCAATAATAAATAGGAGAAGTCTCAGGTGAAGCCAGTATTTTAAAGTAATTAATCATCTTGCCCTCATGGTCCCTCTGCCTCTCTTTTGGTTTTCTTTAACGAGGGAATTTCAGTAATAAATCTTTAATGATATATGTTAAGAATCCTTCATTAATTCTTGTCTGTTATTTCTCTTTTTTGATGGTTTTATGTTGTGAAGTGAAAATGCATATAAAAGAAATCAGCTATAGAAAGCTGATAGTCGAGCGCAAGAACGAGTGCTTCCTTGTACTTCCTCAGTGAAAGATCGTTTCTTGGACTTTGTAATGTTGTGTGGTACATTTGGTAATAGGGATTGTTAATTAATAGTAGCGGCACTGTCGACCAAATACTCGGACTGTAACAGAATTGCAGCATGGCTACACAAGAAAGGGGAGGAAAAAATGTTTTGTCTGCTCCTAAGTTGGAGGTGAATGAATACTAATTCTGAATTCCGTGACACGTAAGATGTTACATAGTCTCCGACGCTATGAACACCCATATGGTAAGTGCAGTTGCATTTTTCCGCCGCTAAAATAGCGGTTTAATGCTCTGGTGTAGACGAGACAATATATCTTTAAATAACTCTGGTTAGACCTGACCAGCCATCACGTATATTCAATGTGACAGGGACAGATGTGACAGATCGGTTCTGACACACTTCCATAGCACGAGTCAGTGGCTGGAGGTGACTCGTGTCCTTCCTCTGCTTCTGTCCCCGCTGCAGGACAGCACAACGACGCACGAATGAACCTCGCCATCGCCCTCACTGCTGCCAGGTACGGCGCTGCCACAGCCAATTACACTGAAGTGCTGCGCTTGCTCAAGAGGACGGACCCGCGGAGCGGCAAGGAGCGCGTCTGCGGTGCCCACTGCAGGGACACCCTAACAGGTGGGTGGCTCGCGAGCCGCGCGCGTAGCTGGGAACGCCCGGCCGGCGCCTCTCGCCCAGCTTTGTCCCCTAGCTGCGTGCGGCACTTTGGCCGCGTTTCGGGAGCAGTGGCGCCGCGCGCCTTTGCGTTTTGAAGGACGTGGCTCTGTGGATCAAACTGAAAACTTTCTGCAGGAGATGTTATCATCTTTTAGTTGAACAGAAAAGCACAGCTTTTTAGGGGAGCATGTTGTTTCTATTAAAGAAACATAGAACTGGTAAAATGAAGGAAGAATGGGAAACACAGATGTTTGTAAATATCAATTAACTGACAAGGAAGACATCTTTCCAGAGTGCAGTGGCATATCATTAATGTCAATCATCTTTAACTTCTGTCAGGTTTTCACTCAAATGCGAGTGCTTTGGCAGAGCAGACTAAGCTTTACATCCAAACCCTTCTGTCAAGCAAAGATGACACTGTAAAACGCTATGTGCTGTACAGTAATAATACCATTTACCAAGCTCAAGAGTTGAGACTGAAATGCCTCTTGTTTGAGAGGCCGATTTCAGCTAAAACGCTCTTATTCTGCCCAGTCCGGTGCCCTGCCTTTACAGGTGAAGTGGAATTTTACTACAAAGAATTTTCTTCCAGATCTGATGTTAATTGAAAACTCTGTTAATTTTTAAGAAATAATTCCAGCTGTTCTGTTCAGACAAACACAGTATACTTTACAGTAGGTTAGGCTCATAGACAGATTAATAATCCACAGTGTCAGTGAGCAGGAAAACAAATGGTGTATGTGATTGATACTGTTTTCTTTCACAGGGCAGGAATTTGATGTCAAAGCCAAATGTGTTATCAATGCTACAGGACCTTTCACAGACTCTGTGCGCAAAATGGATGATCAGGAAGTACCAAACATCTGTCAGCCAAGTGCAGGCGTGCATATTGTCATGCCTGGTTATTACAGGTAACGATATTCAAAGCCTAAACCATTTGTAACAATCTCTGCTGGTGTCTGTAATAAATAAGGTTGCAGAGACGCGTTTGCAGCTTTTACGGTAGTCTTGAATGCATGCTTTGCTTTTTAAAGAAAGGATTCTGGCACGGTGCCTATTAGAATAACAGTTTTATCTATTCAGAAACAGCCCAAGTCTTGTAGCTCTTACTCAAAGCTCACCAAGGCAACACTCTTGCTGAAGTAGAAGAGGACTTAGGCAAAATATCTACTACTGGTTTGTAAAGGGCTTCTATTAGAATAGTGAGTTTTACAGCTGAGTGTACCCACTGCTTGTTATAGCTACCTTAGAACACAAACACCACATAAAACCTTCTAGAGAGGTTGCCACCTTCATATACATTTTTTTTTTCTTTTATTAAACATCAAAGTCCAGGTAATGACTATCTGTGATTAAATTTTGTCGCTAATATTATCCTATATTATGACTCCGATTATAATATGAATACGGCATCTATACGATATAGAAAAGAGTTCAAAAGAGCGTGATTTAGCTAAAGCCTAACTTTGGAAGAGAGCAACATGAAACCAAGATGTTGGAGGGAATACTGTTTCGTACAAGGGGAAAAATTGAGAAACATAAGGAATAGGGAGAAATAACTAGGTAAGGAGGTTTCTGATATTATAGTAAGAATTAATCTCTTGTAATCTAGACCAATTTCTCTGTAAATGAGATCAAATCAGTGGAAGTCAGTGATGCTTCTGTTCACATCAAAAACAGTGGTGTTTTTACTTCTTTGAAGATGCCAATATCAAATTTGGTATGTTCTCTTTGTGGAATTCTGTGACGAAGCTGTGTTCAACTGCCTGTAGGTCAACCTAAGGCAATAAACAAGTTCTAACAGTTTGGAGTCCTCAGTCTCACAGTAATACAGCCTTAAATTCTTACACGGTTGTAGACATGAGCCCCCACACCCGTGCTTGCTTTTGTTGAAAGGACCTATCTCCCTCTGCTGACCCTGTTAAAGAACATGTTTCTGTGATGTTCTGTGCACCTGCTCTCTGCAGACTCCTTTTGCCTTTTTTCATTTGTTGCTGCTAAACTAAATCTCTTTCTACCAAGTAAGCCTTTTCGGTTGAAGCTCAAATATTACCTGTGATTTCTGAAGTTGTTAGCATCCTAATGGAAATTCACAATTTATAAACTTACCGAACTCTGTTGATGCTGGGCACTTATAATAGTACAACGGTCATATGGAAGACATTATGCGAATATAAATTTAGACTTCCAGTGCACAACATGTTGTTTTTGCATGGCTGTCCCAGTGGAACATGACCCATGGACTGTAAAATTGAGACTTTTTTTTTTTGGCCCAGTGTAAAATTGCTCCTACATTCTGTTCTTTCCTATGTGTTTTGCACCTGAAAAATAGCAAAATGACCTAATAGTTGTCCTGAAGCAGTAGCAATCAAGAGAAATGGGTTGTAATCCTGGTTTCGTTATATGCTGTGTGAGAAGTACATGTGGCTCTACACCAAAAGAACATGTAATCGTGCAGAGCAGAAGTTTCACCCTTTGAATTGGTATGTAGATTCAAAGAGAAGATGGCTATATGCATGATAGTTCCAATTTATGTATTGTGTAATAACCTAATAATTTTAATTGGAAATCTGGAGAATTCTTGTTCTCCTTGTTCCTCAGTGTATGTCAGCATGTGGGCATTACTTTTCTTGTAAAATAGTATCTACCCACATACTGCCTCCACAGTACTGCTGATTAGATAAAGCCGTACTTAATTTCCTTTAAGTGGGATAGCTAAGCTAAGGAACTGTCTGCTAAATAGAAAAAAATCCATGGTATTTAATCTCAATTGTATCAAGTGTCTACTCCTGGTGCCGAGTGAGTACTCCTGAATGAGTAAGACTGTCATTTCCTTGCATCTGCTTGCCTTGGTGATAACTGTTTTGTAGAATCTTGACCTAAGCTCACACAAGGAAAGCTTTATAACAAACAGGTAGAGGTTTTTATATCTAAGCATACCTAAAAATTTATAACATAATGCTAACAATGCATTTATTTCCCACAGGATTTCTACCTCTTTATGCTCTTCATTAAGAGTCCCAGTATTACTCCTCTTGTTAGTTCTATTTTTAGTATGCGCACATCTATTCTAGTAGCTGCAGTAAGTCTCACTCCTTATCACTTAAGTATATCATACTATGAGCACTTCATAATTTTTCCTGCCAAAGTGAGAAAGACGGGGGATTTCACCTACCTTTGTGCACTTTCTACCTGAAATGTGTATACGTATGCAATATTTTTTAAACCCTTCTGACAAACTTTGGATGTTTTCAGTCTTTCTGGAATTTTGCTATCCACTCTTCATTCCAAATTAAGTTCAACTTTAAAAGTGTTATTGTGTAGTTGTACCGTCTTGAAAGTCACCTGTTTCCTATCTAATTGCATTTGTGGTGCTTTGGTCAAATATTTCAACTGGAAATCTTCCCTGTCTCTGTTCTCCTGTCTGTAAAATGTCATATTCTAATGTCTACCGCTTACTAACTTCAAGCTTGACGGCTCTGTTTTGTCCTCCAGTTAAATCATTGTTTAATTTTGTAGCCATACAGTTCTCATATGTATGAGGATATAAAATGTGTTCTGTTTAAGTTTCTTTCCTCAGTTGTCATATATTCTACATATATTCTCCAATTTAAATATACTGCCTTTCTGAAAAGGAAGCATATTGAAAAATAAGCCTTATGCTCCCAACAAAGGCAATTGTTCTAAAGCATGTCTTAAGTATCTTATTAAAGCTTTATCATTAGGCACGCAAAGGACCAAGTATCTTGATATTTGTTCTGCTGACGGTCACTTCAAACCCATCTTTACTGCGCTCTAAAGCAGTTTCTATTGGCCACTGTAAGTTTCCAGGTAAAGACGTTGCTTTACAATTCATATTAAAGTTTTCAATCTGTAACTTACCCATTTTAATAAGTCTTTTAAGATTATTAGAGAAATCTTACAATGAATGGTTACTGCTATAGCTTGTACTACACTGACATCCATTCCTTAATAGTAAGAATTCCTGTCTTGTAAAAATGCGTTGTTTCAGAAGTATTCCTGGTCTGCTCTAGTTTCTCTCTGGAGAGATTCCAGAGCAGGCAGTATTCTTGTGTGAGGACACTTCACCTGCTTCTAAATTTGTTTCCGAGGCTTTTCAGGTATTTATACAAGATAGAACGAACATAGCAATGGGAGACTGAGAGAGAGCTTCCCGGGATAGTCAATAGTCATCAATTAACTACATTCATTGGCATACGGAAGACTCAATTTCATCCTTTCTCAGCATTTTCACTGTCATCCGATTTGTAAACACTTTATTTCATAGGTGTTATGGTGAGACTTATCTTCAAGTTTCTGCTTATTTCTTTCCGATGTTTTAACTGTTTTTAGCTAAATCACGTTTAAAAATTTCATTTGTGCTTTTGACAAAGTGACTGTTCTAAAGTTTTCTGACTATTCTGATATTGTATATTAAATCTCTAGTTTCCTCTGTCTCTAAATCAATAGCCTTTTCATTTTAGAAAGTAATCGTTTGTCTGACGTGATTTACCTTTCACAAATCTATGTTGACTTCCCCTATTAAATTGTACTTCTCCAACCATATACTTAAGCTGTCTATAAATATCATCTAAAAAATATTCTAATATACATGCTATATATGAAATTTTCAGCTTCTCTTCTAGCCTTTCAAGATATTGAAAACTTATCTTCAGTAATCAGTTTAGACTTCATAAAAATGAAATAATGACTGATTCAGCTTGTAGCTGCCTTAAACAGGGTAATCCATATCCAACACGTTCTTTGTCTACCTCAGCTTATAGTGTTAGTTACTTGAGTCCATTGAATTATTTCCTCTGGTGGTTCATTAGAGTCTAAAAATATACCTCCTATCATGACCGCCATCAGAAATAGATGCAGAACCCGAGGACTGCTAAGCAGACTGCAAATGTTTTTCAGGAATCAGAAGTCCTTCTATATGAAAGTCACCGTCTTTTCTTTAAATAAAAATGAATGAACAAATGGATATAAAAACTGTTTATTTTGTTCAAGTTATTATAGAAGCCTTTTCTTTCCTGAAATATAAGTAAAGCTATTTAATAAGTGATAATTTTGTTTGTCTTTGCATGTGGATTTTTTTTTACGTTCTACCGGAAAACGTTGATACATAAGTTAAAATTCCTTATACAGAGAACCACTGTTTATTTGTTTTTCGTCCTACTGAAATGGTGGGGTTTTTGTGGGTTTTTTTGATTGTTTTTTTAATCACGCCATGGATCTCAGTATAGGAATGCCATAACAAGAGCTAAAGTATTCAGAATATACTTCTGAGTACTGACCTGAATCCCTTGGTAGACTGTGGGCTTAACTTCCAGTTCAAATGGCAGGTGGTTAGCAAACTCAAGTTGTAGCATCATTGAAAATTTAAGGTTTTCTTTTTTTTTTTTCTTTTTAGTGTATTGATAATGCTTATGACTTTAATCTTTTATTACTGACACTCACACCTACCCCATGAACCTTTGCCTTTGTGAATGAAGGTAGTTGTTGTAAATGTTGTAAGCGTCCCAGGGTGGGGGAGTTTGTATATCTGCATTTCTTTGTCTCCTGTTTAGGGGGCAGATAACTGATAACCCAAGTTACCAGTACTTGGTCTTAAATTTGTCTCCCCATATACGTGAACTCATGTCTATGTATATACATGTATGCATACATCAGAGCTATTGATCTCTTCTTACTTCTTCCATTCTAACATGCACTTTTTTGGCCTTTCCTTTCCTTCATTCCATTTATAGTGGGTTTTTTTTTTTTTTTTTTTTTTTTGCATTTGAACGACCAAGACTTCCAAGAGTGAATGGAGATGTGAGATGCCAAAGGCCTGGTTCCTTGATCTAGGGAAGTGGGCTGCAAACAAATTTAGGAAATCAAATTCCAGTAATAGCTGAGAGTTGCATTAAAGGGCCTTATTTCTCAAAACTTTTGGGACTACCTTTAAAACGGGGTCATGGCAACTTCTAAAATAATAGCTGATCACGTCTTACTTTTGTTCTTAGGCCAAAAGATTAACATTGTAATACTTTTATCAGGGGCACGAGGTGCCTAAGAGACTCCTTGCATTCATCTAATGATGCCTAATTTGTTTGGAATGTGTCTGTTCTCCGTTTCAGCCCTGACCACATGGGTCTGCTTGACCCAGCCACCAGCGATGGCAGAGTGATTTTCTTCCTGCCGTGGGAGAAGATGACGATAGCAGGGACCACAGACAGCCCAACTGATGTTACTTCCCATCCAATACCAACAGAAGAAGATATAAACTTTATTTTGAGTGAAGTGCGCAACTACCTTAGTTGTGATGTTGAAGGTAAACCTCGTCAGCTGTTTTTCACTGGGAGGGTAATGATGAGTCGGCAGTATTTCAATGTGAGTGAACGCTGCTTGTCTCAAGGTTTTTTTGAGACTGTGATAACTATGGTTCTTGTGCATCTGGGTCTTTCTAACACAAGTGGGACATAAGCGTCATCTTGATCTATGTTTCAGAGCTATAAAATGATGCTTTGTCGGAAATAACTGTACTGCTTGGACTGCTTAAACGGAAATCAGTTGATATCTGAATATTTAAATTTCATATACCTTTAACTAACTGGCACTAACTGTCTAAGCTGCACAGCCAAGTCCTGCTGGTCTTTCTGGGTTGCAGATGGCAGTGTTTTGTGGAAGTGAAACCGTTCAGTTCTACATCAACAGAAGTATATCAAATCATTCACTTACTCTTCTTTCAAGAAGAGTTGTTTTGACTTTTCCAATTTCTTTGTTTTTATTTCTGTTTTTCTAAATACTTTGCTCTTAATATTTACTTTTCTTGAACTGGTAAATGTAGTGTCAGTTTTCAATTGGAGAGGGCGGTATAATGGATAAAAGGAAACTTGTAGATATGTCCTGGTGATAGCTGTTCCGCTCAGCAGCTGCACTTGGGAACGCCAGCTCGTTTGTTGCAAGACACTGGCCATTTGGATTCAGGGTGTTGGTTTAAAGGTGAGAGGCTTCGTGTCTCGTTGCTGTGTCATTGAGCTGTCCGGTTTCTGTCACAGTGAGGTTTTTAAATGGTTCTGTGGAAGCCCTTGTACTCCTAGATTTCTCCTGTAGTAGCAGCATTAAAATACACCTGAAGAGCACTCTTCTGGTCAGGAACATTACAGCATCTTCTGCTCTAGATCTAGGAAGCTTGCTATTCAGAGGCTGGAAATACTAGATTACTTGTTTATTCTTCCCTGAAGTGGGTAATTGATGACTCTGTTTTGTATAAAGTTAAGAAAAACAGTCTTTACAAAATGTACCATTAAGTTTCTTATGCAGAAGTCGATATAAACGAGTGTGATAGGCCAGGCAGGTAGCTTAGACTGAGTTAGACTGTGAATAAGACAGAAATTTTGCGAGGGATTTTTACAGAAGTACATTATGAAGTGTTTAATGCTGTAGAAGGAAACCTACCTAGGTGCATGCTGTTTTTCACATATGCAATTAGCAGTGTTTATAGATTGCTTGTTATTGAATTAACAACTGTGCTGGCCATATCAACTCACTGCAGACCTGCCTTTTTGCTGCCAGAGACAGTGCCAGGGTTATCAACTTACACAGGCTTGGATGTGTTCCAACTGTTTAATTATAGTGTCACGCATGCTGCTTTTTCTAGTTTCATTAGTTTATAAACGTAATATGGTATCTTATTTCTGTGATTAACACTTCATTTTGGCAGGTTAAACATGCTGGCAGAGCACCATTGATTTCTGAAATCTATTTTGTGTTCTTTGGGGGATATTTTTACACCCTGTTATTGATTTTTTTTTCATTATCAGTTATTTGAAAGTTATAGTAAAAAATGTTCCAAAGGCTTCAGTATAAAGCAGATTGGTTAATTTCTCTATTGTGAACTTAATTAACTTAATTTTGTTGCATGTTAAATTCTCTGTTGGTCCCATGTTTTATTTAAAATAAATAAATATTAACTTTCAGAGACTAGGGTATCTTCCTGCCACTATTAAGGGCTTTTGATTTTTATTGCTTGATGCCTTCAGATTTTATTCCTCTAAGCGTACTGCAGAGTCAGGTTTGGCTTCAGAGGTAACGAACAAGAAGCAGAGGAATAGCCTACGTGGGCCGGAGGCGGAGAAGCCTTTTGGTCAGGTTTGCTGCAGAGTGGGAAAAAGTTTCTAAAGTGCTGTTAAGGATGGGAAGTCAGGTCCCAAAAGAGGTATTTGTGTAAGGACAACTTGGACTTCTAGTGGGTTGTTTTTGACAAGTCAGCTGGGCCCTGTTGGGTTGCCACGCAGTAACAAGTGCTGGAGGTTTGGCTGGGGTACAGGAACGGGATCTGTTATGGCCTCCTGGAAAATCACTAATACATTTTCTGGTGTGTATGTGTAATTACACTTCCAGTAAATGCTCTCAATAACGATCATTTTTTCAAGAGGAAAATCCAGAAAAATAACTTATTGTATTTGAAAATAACTTTGAGGTCCTTAAAGCAAGATGTAATGCTCTTGTGGAACAAACTTTATTTGGATTCCCAAATGCAATGTAATGACTGTCCTGTCAATAAAAGAAAAGAAGGAGAAGCCTTGATGCTGGAGTGGGGGTTGTTTTAGGGCGGGGGTGTGTGTTTTGTTTTGTTTTTATTTTTTTGAGTTGATCAGCAAGTTCAAGAGTTTAGTCTCGCAGCAAATCAGTTCTTAGAATATCTCTAGCCTGTTGGATTTTTACCCACTCTGTACAATGGACCCCTCTGTCTGTCAATGACTTGTCTATTTTGGGGTAGGGCAAAGATATTATCGACGCAGATCAGGGCTGTGCCTTTCTTTAATTCTGTAGCCCAATGCATTCCATTACTCTGGAGAGTCTTCTGTCTTTTTGAGTTCCTCAGCCAACAAGCATGCTGTGGTGCAGTCCTTGTTTCACACTGAGAATCTGCTTATAGGTAATCCCGCAAAGAACATAAGAGGAATATGAGATAAACAAAAATGAGTTCCTAAATTCTTTGGCTGTTCTTTGGTCCTCAACAGTGAGAAGAGGAGACGTGCTGGCAGCATGGAGTGGCATTCGTCCTCTGGTCACGGACCCCAACTCTAAAGACACTCAGTCGATATCCCGCAATCATGTTGTTACTGTCAGTGACAGTGGCCTTGTTACAATAGCAGGTACTGGATGTTCATTTTTGGTAAAGCTTTATTGGGCTTCCCCAATGAATTTTACTCAAAACTTTAATGTTCTTACAGGATACTCCTTCGCATTCCTATAAATAATAATGATCTACCAGTGGTAGTGTGACTTGACTTGTTGGAAAAAGTCTAGTAAGAATAATGAGATATATAAAGTGTGAAGCTGGTGTGCACTACACATATTTCTCTTAATTTCTCCAAATAAACAAATAAATGTGTGCTTACAGGTGGGAAGTGGACAACCTACCGTGCCATGGCACAGGACACCATTGATGCAGCTATTCAGGCTCATGGTTTTAATGTAGGTTCCAGTAGGACTGTTGGGCTGCAACTGGAAGGGGCTGAGCACTGGAGTCCTACTCTCTACATTAGGTTAGTCCAAGACTACGGACTTGAAAGTGAGGTGAGTTGTTGGTCTTTGAGTTTATGCTCTGATGCTTCTGTGTTGGAGGGTTTTATCAGATAAGACCTGGCCAGGATAACGAGTTTTTTAAGAAGTAAGTTCTAGTAATTATGAAGGAGAGAAGGAAAAAATGGCATATAATGTCAATGAGAAAAGAACAATCTTAAAATTGTTTCCAGCTTTTAAATGCATAGCCCAGCCAGAGTCTCTTGCCCTTCAAGCCCAACAAAATGCATGCTTCAGATGTGATCACAATGTAGCAGAAAAGGGTTGAAGCATCATTAGTCACAGTTACATTGATACATGTGTAGTAGTGTTAGTGCTGGTCTAAGCATTCGCAGCACAAGTGGTTTCCTCCCACACAATCAAAATCTAATACCCTCCTGACTCTTTTTGTTGTTGGTGATGAGAAAATTGACAAGAAAAACTTGTGTGTATTTGGTGTGCTTTTGAAAGAATACTGCATTTGGTATTTGTTTTCAAATCCATAGGTAGCTCAGCATCTAGCTTCTACATATGGTGACAGGGCTTTTGAGGTGGCAAAAATAGCCCAAGTTACAGGAAAGAGATGGCCTATTGTTGGAAAACGTCTTGTATCAGAGTTTCCTTATATTGAAGCTGAGGTATGTGGAAAAGCTACATAATGCTCTTTGATTGCTTTCTGAGAAAAGGATCGTGTTCTAGATTAATCTGTCTCTCTGTAAAACGTCTTCATAAGTACTCTCCTTTGAGGTCCAATTCTGGGATGTTAATAAAATATGAATAAAGTTCTCTAAAGTGATTTTTTTTTAATCCTGTTTTTGCTTTGCCCTTTCTGAGCACATTTTTAGATATATATGGCCATGTTTGATCTCAGATGCATTTTTTAAAATGTTCTAAGGAAAAAGGAGGTCATCTAATGTTTCTCGGGTATGTAGGGTGGGATCTATTTACAGACTTTATTTCTTTATTTTGTTAGTAGGACCAGTGATGCAATTTGTGATGCTGAATGTCATTTCCAGGCAATATTCTTGTTCGTTTTTTTCATCCTATTTGCCAATGCCTTCTGTTGTTTTTACCTTCCTATGAAATAGCTCATCACAATGCTCAGCTGTTTAAAAAAACATAAAGCATGGCTTCCCCCCCTCCCCCCCTTTTTTTAATCTCTTACTATTCTAGGTCGTATACGGTGTAAAAGAGTATGCTCGCACTGCAGTGGATATGATTTCCCGCCGTACGCGCTTGGCCTTCCTGAATGTGCAGGCTGCTGAGGAAGCTTTGCCAAGAATTGTAGATATAATGGGGAAAGAACTTAACTGGAGTGAGCAGAAAAAAAAGGTACAAAGGGCATTTTTCATCTGAAACTGTTTTGTTTTCCTTAAGTAGTTTCCATGTTAACAATCTGAATCAGTTGAATGGAAAACTTCAAATGATGCTTTCTTCCTGTGAGAATAATTCCCTTGGCATATTTCAGTATGAAATACTTTATCAAAATAGTTATCAACTGAATTTGTGTTGGTTGGAGGTGGAGGGGAAAAGTGAAGATCTGTATCCTGGTGTTCCCTAACTTAAAAAACAAAAGCAAATTTGGCATTATTACCTTATTCCTGTTTAGATGTTTTGTTTGCAGTGACATTTCTCAACAGACCAGCCTTGGAAGAGAAGGAGGATCTTAAGATTGTGTGTGTGTGTGTGTGTCACTTCTTCCTTTTTGTCTGCTGTGTGCTTTTTAAAGTGATACTACAATTCTTTGGCCTAAACGAATATTTGTAAGGTCACTGTTAGCTTCCTATTCCCCTAGTGCTTTTGTGCTCAGTTATACAGTGTGGGACTCCTCTCGTTTTAGTTACGGTGTTGGTAGTGTAGCCTGCTGTATGTGAGCTGGTCTCGGTACACCTCCTCTGTAGTTAACAGAGTTTGGTCAGGTGACTTACCCTAAATGAAGGCATCCGCTTTGATGCGTTGAGTTGAATCCTACAGTCGCATTTAGATCTCCACAAACTGTCAGGAGAACTTTGGGGAACCAGCTTAGATGCAGATACCCTGTTTACTGAAATGAATCCTACCACTTCTGACTTATCACCGAAGTTGCTGACCATCCTTTCTTTCTGTTTTTATCACAAAAGATGAATGTCCAGAATATTATAGACCGCACATTTAATGCCATATCAAGTATGGTGGAAGAAAGAAAGCACGGCGAGTGCCGTATCTAAATGGGGCATGTGGTTTGGAACTTCTTTCTCTCTGTTAAAGTAGATGGGACGTGTGAATGCTCATGTAATCCTTCCACTCCAAAAGGAATAGGAAGTTTCCCTTTGCTCGCTCCTGATACCTTTTAGCCAGTTAGCTGTTTCATTAAGATTCTGCAGGGAGCTCATCTGAATCCTGCCAGGCAGAGGACCTGCGGTGACCTGAAGCCTCCCCAGAGGAATGCATGAAGAGAAGGATACCGTCATGTCGGTTGTCAGCTCACAGCTGTGAGCAGCGTTGCTTGTGTGTGTGTGTGTGTGTGTATGTTGAGCAACCTCACAGTCAGAGGTGTTTGACCAAAATTAGAGAGATGTCTTGCCCTCACTCAAAGAAGCTTGCTCATATACTAATTTACCGCGTTAGACAAGGTATATGCAGCCGTCCATAACAATAGATTAGAAAACATGAAGTTTCCAAAGCAAAAAATTTGCAACTGATGTGCCGTTAGAGTTGCATGGGCGATCTTAGCAGCGGCAGTCTGCAGTGAGGGAGCTATGCACCGCTTCTCGCACCGCAAAGCTGCAGCAAAGGAAATGGGCAGGTGTCGCATGTGCCTGTGCGGCTTACAGAGCCGCCTGTGTGAGCGCGCTGATGGAGCAAGGCACGGTCCCTAGGTATTGCATCCCCTGTGTATCCACTGGCGAGTCTGTGGGGAAAAATCTTTCTTTTGGATGAAACTATTCCCCCCCCCCCCCAAGATACTGAGTGTTGTTTCTGTAACCAGACTTGGGCCATCTTGAAGTGCTACATTTTTACTGCAGTTCTGTGGGTGTCTTTTATTTTTTACTTTTTTTATTACAGCTTGAGGGACAAGGCAATTCCATGCATATTCAGAATGTGCTTTTTAATTTAGGTCTGATAAGACCATTAACTTTAAGTCTCTTTTGGTTTGGGACTTTAAAGGTAACGTGCATGCTTATATTGAAATATGTGAGGGTAGTCCTGTATAGCTTAGGTGGTGTCCTAATAATGCCTTAAAGAGCAAGTCTTTGCTAGATAAGGAAGACCCTTGGCTTAAAATGACACGTGTGTGTATACCTAGGAATTTTTTACTGTTAGTGCAGTACTCAGTATACTTGTATTTATTTGTAATCTGTAGTGTGAACTTTCATACTGGTGACTTTTGTGGCAGATGCTTGTGCCACTGTTAGAACCATGTTTGAACCCGTAGCTGCAGAAAAGAACTGTGCGCTCTGCAGTACATTATGTATTGGAGAGGTTTATCGTGTATTAATACTGACTGCAGAAGAGCTTACACTGAACTTTCAGGTAATAACTTAATTTTACAGCTATGAAAAATGCAGTTTAAAACATCAAGAACCAGCCTAGTGTTGATCCTCCTGACTTTTGCTGATATTAGACAGTTAAGTGAAACATTGTGCCAAGATACCAACTGTGAATTAAACGGTGTTTCATAGGTAGTGTTCTTCCTGACCTAGGTAGAAACAGCATGTGTGACTGAAGGCATGATAGGATCCTAGAAGTGTTTACCCAGTCCATGTGTCCCAATATTATTACCAAGTCTAGTAAAGACTTCTACCTTTTATCAAGACTAAAAAGTGCCTAAGCTTATGTAACTTATTTTTTAAGATATTTTCAGATACCGTCTGCTTAATATTTGGACCTTATATAAATTCTAGTTAAGCGGAAGCAACTAATGAAGTACTACGTTAAAAATAATTATGTAAATTTGTTATTCCTTAAAGAGAGACAGTTTTTCTTTTTTGATATAGGAAGAACTTGATGCTGCTAAGAAGTTTCTATATTATGAAATGGGCTACAAAGTAAAGTCTGATCAATTAACAGACAGCTCTGAAATCAGTCTAATACCTTCAGATATTGAAAGGTGAGTGAAGTAGAAGTAGACTTTCCTATGTTGTTAGCAATTCATTGCTGTCACGCTCTTGAGTGCTGTTTTTCACGCTGATGATCCTTAACTTGCAGATACAAGAAGCGATTTCATATGTTTGACAAGGACAAGAAAGGGTTTATTACTATACTGGATGTCCAGCGTGTCTTGGAGGTAACGCTTTCTTATGTTCTGTTATTTTCCTTTTTAAAGCTCTTAACTAAATTGCAGAGTGTGGCATAAATAGTGCTGAATAATCCAGTGATGTTCTTCTGTATTTTTTTTGTCTAGAGCATCAGCATTGACATTGATGAAAATACACTTCATGATATCCTAAATGAAGTAGATCTGAACAAAAATGGACAGGTTGAGCTCAATGAGTTTTTGCAGGTAGGCGTTTCTTTGTAACGAGAGCTGTACCTTTAATGAACAAAAGTGTGGGCATTCGTTTACTTGCTTATATCCCCCCTGCTGGCCTTCCCCCCCCCCCCTTTCCTGGAGGGCTGCCTTGGTAGTGCAGTGGTGTTAATGCTATTTGCCAGCTCCTGAGACAAAAGTAACTGACACACGACCGTCCTCAAGCAACTTTGAAATGCAAAGATTTTTCCTGTGCAGACATTAATCTTATAAGATCAAAGGAATAGACACTGTATGGAAAACCCACCTGAACTGCACCTTCTTATGTAGAAATGCTGTTTAAATTGAGTCAAAATGAGACAATTGCCCATTGAAAGGTATATCACACAATTATGTACATTGACATTTATGTGGGCCTAGTAAGTGGTTAAAATATTCAGAGTAGTTTAGTAAGTACTGGAGAATGAGGAAATATAAGTTTGTTGTTGAAGTGTATCTAGTCCCTATTATCCTGTTTTAACTTCTGAATTAGCTAAAGGCACCTCAGTTTGTACGAAAGATAATACGTTAGCAACCCGTACATCTCCTATTTGCAAGGTTTTAAAATAAGAAAATTAAAGGTGCTACAAAATGTTTGCTCGGCTCCCCTTGCATGAACAGTTTGCTTGCAACCAGCTAGTTTTGTTTTTGTAGAGCCTTTCTTGGTCAGGTGTTTCAAGTGACTGCCATGTCTTTCCTGCATGGTGGCAATGATGAATGCCGAACATGAGATAAATTAATGCTGGGGATTTTGGTCAATGTCAGCCCTTTCTTCACTGTGTCAAGTTAAACAAACAAGATCAAGGCAGAGGAAATGGTAATTGTCTCTCTCGAGATGAGCTGCAGATAAGAGCATTGTTGAATCTAAATGCAGAAAATTTTCACAGGTTGTGTCCAGCATTACAAAAGGGGAGTATTTATTTGCCTAAAATGCAGTGGTTTAGCTGTGTGAGTAAAATGCCTTTTAAAAAAAAGGGGAGGGGGGGTGGAGAGCAAAAGAGAGAAATAGTGGCTTTGGGAGCTTATGCTCATGGATTTAAATAAGACAATCGCAGGTGGTTTTCTGGCTGTTGAAAAAAGCTCTCCCTCTCATGTCCCTTTGCATATGAAAACTTTAATTGGAAAAAGAACTATTTACTGTAATGGGGGTGTTAAACTATAATTTGGTTAGTTTGGATACGTTGTGGTTAAGAATTCAAAACAACTAGCAGTTATGCCTACTGTGTTTTTTGGTGGGTTTCTGTGTTCTTTGTTTTACTCTGAATTATCTCATTAGGGACAGGCATATTTCTAAAATATAAATGACAAATGGCTGCTTTGGTATTTTCAGTGTTGTTATATATATAATATTTTTTAAATTTTCTAACTTGTTGGCCAGTAGCTTCTTCTGTGAATTTCACAATGTAATCTACATATTTAAAACTACTAATTGGCACTGCAATACGGATCACTTGTGCATATGCGCTTCCTTCCTATAGAGGTGGACAGCAGCACCCAGGGAGCTGTTGTGCAGCCGAGTGTTAAGTAGGAAGTGTGGTAATAAAATTAACAGGAGGTTGCCATGGAAGGAACAAAATACATTAAATGTTTGTTTAATTTTTTTAATGGATCTGTTAAGTCAGTTCCAATACTTTTGTGTTTGCTTTCTGAAAACTTTCAAGTAATTGCATTTTACCGGCAGAATGCTTGTGGAAAGCTGTGTGCAAATATTTGTGGACGTTTATATTAGAATATAGGAACACGTTGTACCAGGGTGGGGAGCGGAGCAGTGCCAAGTGGTTTCATTCGACCAATAGTAGATTGCCAGTGTAACTCAAACAATAGTCTTGCAGGAACTGCTCTCAGCAGAGACTAATGCTCACAGGTGTTTCACAAATAAAAAAATGAGCTGAACTGATCAGTGTTTATTATGAACAGGTCATTCTGATTTTAAGTTTTAGCATTTTTTTTCCTTGTGTATCAATATTGTACAAAGCAGCCCTGGTGTCTTGGTTCATATATAGTGTTTTTACACCTTAGCAGAAGAACTCATCTGCATCTGATCCTCAGTCTGTTGCATCAGTCTGCTACTCAGGTGGTGCAAACGTGCAGTGTTTCCACTGTGGGAGTGATGCAGAGTTTTAACAGTGCTCATGTATGTGTACAGCTGTCTTAAGGGAGTGGTTATTTTTGCTTAAGGCTTGCATACAGAAGCCTTGTGCTGCCGTCGTTTATGCTCAAGAAAAGGATGAAAACCTTTAAAACTAATTTTGGTATGTAGAGGCAAAAGAAAAGGAGGGGGCTTTTTTCCAGTGCCATGTTTCTTTTGGGATCCTGACAGATCTGCATATTAGAAACTCTTTTTTTTACATGGCAGTGCTGAAGGATCAGCCAGCTTTTCCGGGCTGGAGGGGACCCAGGGTCATCAGGCTGTTCAGTTCAGGATAACGTGTAGGCCCTCTGCCAAAGCGCATGCAGTAAACGAGATGAACGCAAGACCGGTGGCTGAGCACATCATAAAGTGCAGTGGATGGGAGTGATGGCAACACAGGTCCTCCTAGAGCCTCGGTATTTGTAAACGGGTGCCACTTGGGCTGTGGGAAGGGAGACGAGGCAGAACGCGAGGTCCGGACGCTGGGAGACTTCCCTTGCCGCCTGCGGCGGCTGCTCCTGCTGCTCTGCTCCCCGCTCCGGGGTCCGCGTGGTCCCGCAGGGCTGCGCAGGGTCAGCAGAAGCTGGGGAGGTTTCCCAGCCTCTCGTGGGTCCGCAGGGTGCTGGGCTCCATCCTGTCCCCTTGCCCTGCCCAGGCAGACATGCCTGCTTTCGCAGGCGGAGGTAACTGTGGTACTACGCTGGCGCAGCCCCGCTCCAGATAGCACCCTGCGGAAGGGGAGATGCCTGCAGGATTCTTAGTGCTCAGCTGGAATAAGGCATTGCAATTTTTAAAGTGCTGATTGCTTTGCCTGTTAGTCTTCTACAAGCTGACTGCATGCAATTTCAGGTCTAATGCCCATTTTATCCATGGGATAAAGAAGAATTTAACTAAAATCTTAGCACTGGTCTGTGTTCATTAAGGTAGAGCTGAGTCTAGTTTCAAGGACTTAAAGGCAAATTAGTTTTTAAAGTCTATAAAGGAATTTGGATTTGAAATAATTGTGGAAGTCAAGTACGCTTTCTCCACAAAGAAGGGCAGCTGAATGAAAAAGGGTATAGCCCAGGGTCTTAGGTACGTCAGGAAGTGTGTTCTCCTTATTCTGTGTTTAGCTACTATCAGATTATTTAAAAAAAAAAAAAAAAAGCCTATAGAGTAGGGGGGGTATCCTCGTTCTGAAACGACGCTGGAGAAACCCAGCGTCGCTGGCTGCCTGCACCGTTGCTTCCAAATGGATCGTGTCTGATGCTTTTCCTGCCGCTTGTGCTCGGGCAAATCACGCACTGATGTTTCTGGAAAACACGAACGGGCTTGCGAGTGGACGTCGTGTGCCGGGGGCGGTGTGCGCGCGGGGACCCCACCAGTTACGGCTCTCCTACCGTCCCCCTCGCTGTTGGCGAAGGTCTCCCCGTCAAGGGCTGTAACTTCTGCCGTTTGATCTTCGTCTTGCGCATAAGTTAATAGCGTGCTCCAAATGTTGTGTCTTTAAGCTCATGAGCGCTATTCAGAAGGGCCGCGTCTCTGGGAGCCGCCTGGCTGTCCTCATGAAGACTGCTGAGGAGAACCTGGGTCAGAGGGTGGTAATTCCCGTGGACCGGAGCGGTGGCGGACTGTGAGTCTGAACGACCCTGCTTACGGCCGCCCAGTGCTGAAACACATTCCAGTGCTTTCGATTGTCTGTGCTCGTCCGAGATGACTTGTATCTGCCCATCAGTGTAGCCCTTACAGAAATACATTGGTGCATCTGTTTTTCTTATTAATGGTTTTCTGTATAGCTCTTAATACACCAGTATGTGGCCTTTTGGAATGGGTATGCTTTAGACACAGTTTATTCACACGAGTTCGGGAATGCAGTCTGGGAAGATTCACGGGCGCTCACAGGTGCTTGTGAACATGCTGCCTTGTTCATTAACTTTCAGATCACCTTTACCTTTAAAGAAAATGATGCTGAGAAAGTGAATCCCCGCTTTAAAGAAAGCATTACGTGGAGTTTTGCAAATGTGCAAAACTCAAGTGCTTGAAAGCTCCTGATCTGTCCCCCTCGGAAAAGAGCAAGGGGGAAAACTGGTGTTCTGGAGTTCAGGATGGTATCACAAAGCAAACAAGAACCTGAAACTTCCTCGGGTAACGGTGATGGGAAGCAATTGTCATGGCTGTTTGCAGAACCTTCCATGGGTGGCTGCTTTTGCTCTTCTCAGTGCTGTATTATTTCAGTGGTATCAATATTTGGCTAGACAAAAATATTGGCTGTATGAAGCTGGAAAACTACAAGACTAGACAAAAAAATCTCAATTTATCACCCATAACTTAAAATTTTGATGTTAAAAGCTGTGGGACAACTTTTCTCCTATATTTGTGGGTTTAAAAAAAAAAAAAAAAAAAAGCTTCCTTTACTAAATTACATTGTCTAGAAGGTGATATTTTATGCTGTAAGGTGTTGCATACTGCTTCCAATTTTGGACAAGTACTGGTGATATGTAAAATGTGACGGTTTTTGGTAGTAGAGCAGTCTTAATAATTTATTTAGAAAATTCTCAAATATAAAGTGAAACAGTGAAATTTATTCTGTTTCCAGTAGATTTTTATAGAAAAGTGAAAGGGCTATTTTTCAGCAGATTTATATAAAGATTTTTAAAAAAAAAAAAAGGACTACTCATTTGAGCTGTTTTCAACAATGTTGCATCTGACTCTTTGCTTTTCTTTTGTTAAGTTGACTAGGATCAAGATCAGATGGGAGATTTCCACCTAATATAGAGCAACAAAGGGAAAAATAATATCTTATTGATTAATTTTTCATTCTTTTGTATTCTTTGAGTATAAATGCCAGTTTACATCCCAAATGTGAAGCTTCAGTTCTAAGGTGACAGAATTGCTACTTATATAAAATTGGGTAAATTTTATCTGATGTCACCACTTTCCTTAATAGGATATAGCAGTGCACTAATGAACAGCAAAGATTACCTTCGCATTTCTAAAGGGAAAATACACACTTAGACGAAATAGAGGTGCTGAGGAATATTAGCATATAGTGTGATAGTAACAAGTACAAATCTTGTTTGGGGCTGGGGTGGCAGAGTCTTTATAAACAAAAAAAAAAAGTTGAAAAACAATAGATCTCTAAAAATGGGAGTGGGGAAGCCTCATTTAAAATTCTGTAAACCACTATTTCTCTCAGTCCACACACTTAGTACCATCTTCAGCAAAGGAGGCAGTCATTAAGAAATCTCAGGTAAAATGCCTGGGTGTCTTTGTTTTTGTTTTTGTTTTTTTTGAATTTGCCTTGTACTTGAATGCCGCTAATGCTAGGGGGATCTACCTTTCCTTGCCTGGAGCGTGACGAGTTAGGTACAGCCTCTGCGAGCGAGGCTTTGCACACACTTGACTATGTAAGGATTTATTTTATGAACAAAAAGGGTTCGTTTCTGTGGTCCTATTAATTATTCCTTTTGAAACATATTCCAGTATTTTCAGATAAAGTATCAAAATGTTTGGCACAGCTTCACACTTCAGAAACCCTCTCCCGATAAAAGGGACGAACACAAAACCAGACTTTAGACGAGTTGCAGAGTTGGAGGGAAGCGGAGGTGCAATGCAGGGGTTGCTTTGGCTCAGTGAGCAAGGTAAGGGGGGGAGGCCGGGGGAAGAATCTGTTGTTAATAATTCAAAAAAATAAAATAAAATAAAAGTGGCACAGGAGCTTTTCCAAGCCAAGTGAAGAAAACAATTGTATTTAGCTTGTTTGGTATGGCTGAAAAAAAAAAGAGAGAGAGAAAGAAATTCTCCTTTGCTCCTCTGTGAACTGCGCTGTCAATGCAAGTTTCCCTGCGCAGGCAGGGTTTTCTGCTTCGCACACAAAGTATGCTCTTTGCGTGGGTGGGTGGTGGGGCGTTTGTTTTTTCGTTTTCTTTTTGTAGCGGTGCGTACAGAACGTGACGTCGGGGTTTTCTGGCTGCGGGTACCTCCCCGATCTGGATTTGCCTTGCATCTCGGGCGCTTTACTGTCATGGTTCTCTGCCTTTTTTGTATGGCGCAGCAAGATCTTGTGTAACTACTTTGTACAGCCAGAGAATATTGCATGTGTTAAAACAGTTAAATCCATATGTGAAAAAAATCCAGAACTGCTCATTTAATCACCCTACATTTGTTTTCTGTAAAGTTTTTTCTGCTTCCCCCCCCACCCCCAATGAATGTACTGTTGAGACAGTTGTAAAATGTGACTGTTGCTTTGTTCTGATCCTAGCTGGAAAATTGTACTGCGATTTTGAGGTGAGAGTTGGAGTTTCTGGAGGGTGTTCTGTTTTTTAAACCATCTGTAGCCTGCTTGTTGGGGGGGGGGGTGTACGTGTGTATGTACATACTGCATGTTTTTACACGTGGCACTTACGTGTTCTGTTAGGTTATCGTTCTAGATTGAACTGTTAAATACTGTGTTTGAGGTGGCTTGTCGTTTTTATAACTGTCCCGATGTTTTATTGTCGCTATTTATTACTTTTGATATACAGAAAGAGCTGCATGCATTTACAGAGCAATAAGAGGATGTATTTAATGTGCCTTGTTTTTAACTGAATAAGAACTGAAAGCATGAATCAATAAAACTGGTTAAAAATGGTCCATTCACTGGCACCTTGGTGTTACGGCAGTTACAGAAACAACTTTGATTAGCCTTGAAAAAGTTTAAAATAAAGGTGGAAAAATAGGTGCTTTTTAATAAAACGTGACATAGTTTTGTCTATATGTTGCCACTTCAGCTCAGAATTTAGCACTTTATAGTTTACAAGTGAAAATTAGGAGTTAATACAGTATTTAACATTCCCAGGAAGTGCAAGCTGTATGCGTTCGCTGATGACATACAGGGTAAGGTATTCGGTGCTGCAATCTCATACTAAAATTACAACCAGCCTATTGTGACTGTTTTTCTTTTTTTTTTTTTTTTTCCCCTCCCAGCATAATCCAGGCCAAGTGTTCCTTTGCACTCTGATGAATTTTATCATAACTAAAATCAATAGAAATGAATGGAAAAGATTACATAATCCATTTTGATCATTTTACATGTCAAGTTAGTCCAGGGTTGCCATGTGTTGATAAATGTTCTGACAGAAAAAATGCTATATATTTTCATTGTCAGTAAATCAGTAAAGCTGTTATCGGTTTTAACACAAATTTTATAATCTCCATATTATTTTATAGGTTTTAATTTACACATGTAATAGGGATACTGCACAACTGCAGTTTAGCTATGCTGAATAGAGAGGTTGTGTACATACAGCCAGAATAGCTCCCCTCCCCGTATCCCCCCCGCCCAGGAATAAACAGGACTGGTACCTCCGGAGTATAATTATAAAGATTATGAATTTTATATGATCTGTGTTGTGTAAGTAATATGTCAGAAAACATTTGCTATAATCATCTCTGTCTCAAATATTTTGCAGCACTAAAATTGCCTTGGGGCATGATCCTGAATTTGTTACTCGAGACAAAACTCTCATTGAAATGAATAGGAGTTTTTCCAGAGTAGTATTTCAGGACTGGGCTCCTTTGCTTTGTGTGATTTCTTCATCGAATATTAAGAATTCAGATTTATTGCAACTTATGTTGACTTGCTCACTGCAGCCTGCTTTAGAAATATGATATAGAATATCATAGCAACATTAATATTTAAGCATTGATGCTTGAACTGGGTGGTTCCCATGTCAAACATGAAATGATTGCATCTGTTGAGGAGGGAAAACCATCTTCAATAAGGATGAATCTTTGCTCCTAAATAAGCATTGTTTTTCCTTACTGAAAATGAAAGGTCTTTCATATTTTTAGGTTTGTTCTTCTCCTTCAGGGTTTTAGTCGTCGTTCCCTTAATTACCGCCGAGCTGTGAATGTGTATGCTGATGCAGGCGCCTTGACCGCACAGAGCATGCCGCAGTACCTGTGTACAAGAAGGTTATAGACTTCATTTCAAGATCGGTACTTTTTTCACTCTGAAGATGCCCTGGCTGTAAGCGTTTGCTAGGGTAATCCCTCTTCATATTTTGCAAAAAAGCCAGGGACTAAATATTGTTCTTCTGAGCAAGCTGTTATCTTATTGTTTTTTTTTTTTTCTGCAACTGTCTTCTGCAAGCACTATTATGTATTTTAGATTATCCAGCTGGTTATGAGCTTTGGCAAAATTTTGGGAAATTTTAATTGTGCATTTAACTGAAGTTGACCCTAAGCAGACGCCAGCAGCAGCCGCTGTGCTTTGTCTGCCTTCTCCGAACCGCTGCAGCCCGAGACTGCTCAGTGTAACTTGACAGGCTGGAGCTGTGTTAACCCCTCGCATTTCAGCAGGTTGGGTTATTTTTATTCAATGGCAGCTGTTAGTGTGTGCTTAGACCAAGAACATGTATGATGGGGCGCTTTCTTGAAAGTAACGTATTCTTTGTGCCAGCGAGCTAACGTACAGCCCCAGTTCAGACATCTGCAATAGGATAGGGCTGTAGCTGGATATGTGTCACTAGTTCTTCTCGATAGGATTTATTTAAGTAAATAAGGCAAATTTGGTTCTGTCTTACCAAGATAGCGTAATCTGTTTGTCTAACTGATGTAAATGTAATTAGCTCGGTCAGTAGAGCTGACACAAACTGAAGGCAGTCGGACGGGCGTAAGCGGATTCGAAGGTGCTCTGGGAAGCAGGCATTCCCTCTCGCCAGCCCCAGCCCTCCCGCCCAAGCAGGCGCTCTGCCTCCTTTCGTTTGCTCTCTTCTCAATTGTTGCTTAGTTTGTTTTACTGAAGCACAAAGATTCTTTTTTTTTTTTCATATCTACAATTAACTGAATTGCAATTCATTTTTATGCAAGCTGAGTTTTCCCTGTCCAAGTCAAGAAGCTGTAAATCTTAGATCTATTGAGCTGACAGTGAAATATATTTCATTTTTCCCCATGAATCATTTGCCATCCTTATTGCAGAAAAATGGCAAAATTATGGTGTACCATGTTTTCATAAATTACTGCTCTTCTCCCCCCACCTCTCCACCCCCCCCCCCCAAATTTGTTCTGTAATTTGCTTGGGAGGGATGTGTGTGAGGGATGCAGAATAGCTTGGGAGACGGGATTTGTTTCCTACCAAATGGTCTGAAAATCTGACTGATCACTGCACTTTTCATAGAAGAAATAAGAACTAGAAGAATTGTTGCATCTTTCACATTAATCAAAAAATTGATAATTGCTACTGAAGTTATCTCGACTTAGTATTGTTACGAGGTTATCTAGTCGAATTACTAATGCACTATGGAAAGAAGGAGGTAATAAGCAGTATTTGATTTCTCCCCCTACCGCCCACCCCACCGGTAAGCAGTTCCTTAGGATTTTGTTCTCTCTTACATGAACAACTTGTAAACTGCAGAAAGCTAGGTATTTTTCTGATTTTAAGGAATTTACAAATTTTGTATCTAAAAATATACAGCTTGCACAACAAATTTGAAAATTGTAACAGTAAATATTTTTAAAATCTAGAAGAGTTGTGCATTTATTGCACTTTAAGTTTAGTGAAATAGCTAATTTGATTAGGGACTTTGGTAGCTTATTGCATCATGTAAGGAAGCTGTGTTTTATCTACCTAGAGTCTCAAAGTCGAGTTTTTCGTGGTTAAAAAATGTTCATCATAGTAAGCTGTTAAATTGTTTTCAAAATTGGTCATTTTTTAAATGGAGCTTATCCAGCTATGTCAGTACTTCAGATTGCACTGAACCATTAAATATAAAACCTGAGACAAAATGCCTTTGAAAAGGGTTAATTAGTTTTAATATTGATTTATTCCATATAGGGCAGTAATAGACTAGAACATTTATTTCTGTTTATGATCATTAAAAACTGTCTTTGGTTCTTGAACAATTTGTTTCTAATAAATAATAATAATAATAAAAAAAAGAATTGGCCCAATTAGAGCAGCGCAGGATAATCTGTGTGCTCTCTCCTGTCCCCGAAAAATAGACGTAAGGCCGACTCTTGTTTTCCTGGTATGTGCCGAGAAGCGGCTGGGCGCGCCCGTGCGCCAGATGCGGGGCGCCGCCGAGCGCCGCGGC